GACATGCCTGAAAGACAGGACATTTTCTCCTTCTCTGAGGGTCAAGAAGAACATCCAAGAGGAACATTAAAAGCTGATGTTATGAGATTTTAAGACCAGTACAGGACATTCACTAAGAAACGACTTTTATTGTGAAAACACAGTCAGCTGATCGAATGCAGCTATTTCCACATCTACACTCCATCAGCTGATTATTTCTATTTGCCTCACTTTATGAGCTTCACAACATGTACTAGGGATCGACCGATATGGCTTTTTCAAGGCCGATACCGATTATTAGTAATCAAGGAGACCGATAACCGATATTTGGAACCGATATACATTTGCAGTCAAATCAGAAAATCTTGGTGTCAAAATGTAGAATAACACAAACTCCAACACAACTTCTTTGAAATGCATTTAAGCATATATTATGTTTAATTAACTTTTAAACATCTTACAACTGGTTTCCTCTGTGCCCTTTTCTTTAGTGCAGCCATCTGCAATGAGTTAGAGAGAGAGACAAGAAGTGGGGCTGCAGGCTGACATGCTTAACTAACAATAATGCTTAATTTATTATATCTGTCTATCTAGCATACAATCCCAATAAGCTGCTAGCAACTGCAAAACACTAGTGCTAGCTAATGTTTTGCAAACTATTAAAAGTGAGGCTATTACAGTAGACCTAACGTTAGTCTAGTAGCCTCACTTCTAATATTTTGCTAAACATTTGCTAGATACATGTTGGCTAGCTAATGAGCTTCACATATCGCACCCCCAACTCTGACTGACTTCCCGCGTCCCTGTGTAACTGGGAAACTGATAGAATTGGATCATAAGATGGTGGTGTTTTTGCAACTTCAGCATAGGGGATAGGGATGTTTATTGAACTTCGGTTTAACACATGTATGGCTCTGCCGCTCAGCGCTGCTGCTTGCTTCAGTCTGTGTCTGCGTTCTTTCGCACCTGCCTGTAATCTGAGAAGGTCCCGCCTCTCTGGCTGGCTCCCGCCCGGAAAATCTTCAGTAATAGCCTATCAGATAGCGCTGTGGGCGGGACATTGCTCGTGTACACAGAGTGGTGACTGCAGCCAGAGAAACAGCCGCATCAGAGCCAAAGTTTTATCGGCAATTTGATTTTTAAAAAAAAGGCCGATACCGATAATCGGTCAAATGCGGAATATCGGCCCCGGTCGACCCCTAACATGTACCTTGTTTTGCAACGTCACAAATAAATGGGGCCAATCTTCAGTCAGATGTGAATGTGTAATCTAACATTTTCAGTAAGAATAATGGACAAAAGGAGTGCAAATACAAATACAATTTATTGAAATGTGAACCAAAAGTTAATCAAATGTTTTAAATAAAAAGTACATATGGACAGAAGGTGTAAACCTATTAAATGTATTAAACACATTTAGTCAAATAAAGTGACAGACTAGGCCTGTGCAGTTGGTATCAGCTTTGCCCAGCATGGGCTCCTCCATCAGGCCTGGTCCTCCTCGCAGAGGAAAGACCCTCAGTCCTCTCCAAACCAACAGACAGGACATCCAGGAGGTTTCTCCCTGAAGTCTCTGCTGCTCTCTGGACACCATGCTGTCTCAATCCGTCCACACTGAATATGAGAGGGGGAAAATGAAAATAATAAATGCTTTAGACCAGGCATCCTCAAACTACGGACTCCGGTCCGGATCCGGACCGAACCACCACTGTCTCCGGACTCTGAGCAAATTATACTTTTCATATGTATTATCTCTCTGTATTATATGTGAGACATCGCCACAACGTATTCGCAACGAGTCAAAATTCTCCGCTATGTCCACTGCAAACAGCGCTCTGCATGTCTGACTGTTCCACTGTGTTCCACCTGTGTGTGTCAACGCTTTGGTCCAATCACATTCAGCATCCAGTCAGCGTTTTTTCCCCCCAAACAATCTGCGAATCAGAGGCACAGTAGGGCGGGTCTTCACGGAATGCGGGTGGGAAAAATGTGTGTGTCTCTTTCAACCTGTCTAAGTCAGAGCGAGAATTAAAAAAAAAAAAAAATTCAGAGCGAGAGTTAACAGCTCATCTAGTTCCATCTGTACTGTAGCTAGTAGCCTAGTTTCACCTACTGGGGTGGCAACTGACACCCTAAAAATAGGCCTTGCCACCCCAGTTGGCAGCTTTGTTTTGAAAGAAAAGTTGTGGCTCATCGGACATTTATGAGAGAAAGTCTCTAATGTCCGAGTGCAAGTGAATGCAGCACAAGATGCACGTCATGCACGTCCCCCGGTCCTGGGGCGAGCGTGGACATACGTTTGGCGGCGATTTCATTTTGAACTGGACGGCGCAAAACGAGAAGCATTCGGACCCAAGCACTGAAGGAATGAGGTATTTGCGGTCTACAATGACAGAGAAGAGACTGTCAGTTTGGCTGTACTCAGCATTGAATCAAAACGCACTAAAGCTGTTGATCTTAATACGTTTGTGAGGCGTTTTGCTGAACAAGATGGTAATCACCGCATTCAGCTGTAATAGACATGTCAACTTGATGCTCTGCTCACGGATGAGCATACACAACTATTAAGATGATGACCTTACGTGTGTAAATATATTTTTTTCTTTGAGGGGGTCTGCCCCCAAAAAACTGTTTTAAGTCCTGAGAAAGTCAAATAAGACGGTGTGTAAAACTACACTGCCCAGCCAAAAAAAAGTAACCACTTTGATTGAACTAGGCCAGTAGGTAAGGACTTTCCACTGGATAATAACTGCAGTATAAAAGAATGCATGACTGAAGTGATGGAGACCATGTTGAAGGCAAACAAAAAGAGGAAATAACAGGTCAAATCAAGCAAATCCCCCTCTCAGATTCCACAGCAACCAGAAGAACATAAATACTGGCTGGTGATTTGATTCATCAGCTTTGTGATGGAATAAAAAATGCACAGTGGAGTGCAGAATCCTATGGGTGACGTCACGGACCCTACGTCCATTTATATATAGGCCCATTCCCAAACCGCCCCCTACACCCTACCCCTCCGTTTGCGCGTTCACGCGGAGGGTCCGCCATATTGAGGGCTGTTCCAAAGCAACGAGTGTGGAGCGGTGTGGAGGGGGAGTGGGCTATCAAGCCCTCAAACAGCGAGTCTGCAGCGGTGCTGACTTGAGACCGGTCTCTACCTGACCGGAGTCACGCTGTGTGTGTCCGTCAGGAAACACGCTATTTACAAGTAGTTCCAGCAAACATCCACTGATAAATTGCGATGTTAACAACCTCATGATAACCTCATATGTTTTTAACTTAGGATCATACCTGTGTTTAGTCTAGAAAAAGGTAAATGTGTGCATTTTATTATAAAGTTGTGTACATATACCGACTGTTGCAAAAACTAAGAAGCTTATAAACATCAGGTTTAAAACTAAAAGAGCTTTGAAACACAATGAAAGATGTTTGGAGTTTTATTTGAGTTATTCATTTAAACTTTTTGTTTAAGAGATGCTGATTTGAAACCGTTGTTACATACAGTTACGGCATTTCCTGTTTCTGCCGGAGAGAGGGGAGGCCGTCCCAAAGCTTGCTGCTGTATTTACTCCCTCCATCTGACAGGAGGGAGCCTCGTTGAGCTGCGAGTGTGGCTACGGACGGAGTTCACTCCGTCACGGAGGGGTAGGGTCGAGGGAGTGGTTTGGGATTGGGCCATAGTCTATGGTTTTAACATTGCTATTGCTTTTTATGCCGGGGGCGGGCGGGAGATTCCTGATTGGTTGTTGGTCGCCTTGGGCGCGAGAAATCGCCAAGCCTCAGACACGCCCAGCTTCAAGATTTTTTGATGCCTGTAGTGTAGACGGGGCGTTCCTGGGGGCTTGCATTTAGGCCCATTCCCAAACCGCCCCCTACACCCTACCCCTACCCCTCCGTTTGCGCGTTCACGCGGAGTTACGGCATTTCCTGTTTCTGCCGGAGAGAGGGGAGGCCGTCCCAAAGCTTGCTGCTGTATTTACTCCCTCCATCTGACAGGAGGGAGCCTCGTTGAGCTGCGAGTGTGGCTACAGACGGAGTTCACTCCATCACGGAGGGGTAGGGTCGAGGGAGTGGTTTGGGATTGGGCCTTAACATGCATTTAAACAGTCCTTCGGCGCCACTCGATGACGTAGTATACTTGAAATAGAGTGCCTGCAGATCGGGTAGTGACCTTTATATACAGCCTATGGTAGTGACACATTGGTCATGTGTGTCACTACAAATAAGCTTTGTATAAAGTATACAAATAATAAAAATATTTTAAGCTCTACTTGTTGTGGATTCATCAAGTTAAGAGTTAGTTATTGCTATTTAACAGGTTTTAGATGTTTTTAGAAGGAATATATTTCAGCAGATTTGTATCACCCAGATTCCACCTTTTCTGTAGAATGACCCAGATGCTGTTTAAAAAACCAATGTGAGTTGCGTTTATCTTTACCCATGGATGCACAATAAGAACGGACCCATCTCGTCTGCCATCTCACGGAGCTGTAATAATGGATATATTGCACATGTTTGCTATAATTCATTATCATACTACATGGGCTGTATGATTAAATCTTGTACCGTAAATGTTGTATTAAATAAAGTTAATATTACTTATTATTATAAGTGCAATCATTCTTTCATGCTAAATGAAGCTCTGTTGCTTGGATATCACTAGATCCTGTTACAGCGTAATATAAGTACATAACGATTGATGTGCACATTAGCATAATGACTAGCTAGCCGCTAGCTGCTAACTGCCGCCTCGTTAATATCAAATCCATCATAATAACAAATCATTACCATGCTGTCATGAACGTGCGGTGCTGTTACGTGTACGTAAATTGACGTGCTTGATGTGAACGAGCATTTTGGTTTAAAGTTGCGCATGCGCTATGAGCGCACATACGGGTACTTCTCAGGCATGCCGGGTAATCTGTGACGTTTCGCTCTCTCAAAAGTTGGGCCATTTTATCATCATGCGCTAATGAGCAACTCTCATAGGAATGAATGAGGCCCCGCCTCCCACGCTGTATCCAGTTCTTATTATACATCCAAGACTCGAGCTGGTTTCTCCAAAATTACCTACCCCACCTTTAATTACAGGACGCGATCAACAAGTGGCATATGCAATGTATTTCCCCCTGTTGTCTGATTATATTGACATGGTTTTTGAAACGAAACATATTTTAATTTGAAAATTCCTTACCGGAAGTCATGGTTTTCTCTTGACCACCATGCCACCTGTGATGTGAGCAGGAATACATCCTCCACGCCGAGGTAACTTTTTTGAACTGCAGGTGAATAATTTAGCACGAAATGTATTCTCTTTAAAGTAAAAATGACTATGTTAAGAACTTTTGACTTTTCCGTACGATTGTTCGGCCAATGATGCTATCTAGAGTAAGGGTTTTGAAGAGTTAAAATGTATGACTTGTTTAGATGTTGCATTTGTCATCACTTAATAAACTTATTTTAAATCTTATTTAGTTAGGTTGAAAAATGCGAGGTCGTGTAGAATCGGACACAGGCCCGTCCGGTAAATAAGCAGATATTAGTAAATGTTAAACAAAACCGCTAATGGTAGCCGCCTGTCCTTCTCATGCAGACGGGGTGTCTGCCATGAAACAGTAATGGGTAATGTCCCACCTGTTTTTTAGCTGCTTCTCTCAAACAAAATTAACCTAGAAAGAGTTTTAAGAAGGCTCTAGCTCGAGTTTTTGTTCAAAGATACTTATTTACATCAAGTTAGTTTACAGTTAACACAATAATGTAAAGCCAATTAAAGTTGTTTCTGTTGAATTGTTCTCGTAAAAGTTAGCTGTTATGCTACACTCAATCTGCGAGATCCCTGGTCAATGCCACATGATTATTTCATAGTATTTTTTTCTTGTCTAAATAACTTCATATGAATAAGCTTCATGATATTGTCAAAATGTGCAGGACACTTTTGATCTGGAAAATGTATATAGCTAAACTACACAAATAGCAACCTGTGGGTCCCCTTTACATTTCTCAGCCTCTTTTTAAGTAAAAGAGATGACATTATTCCAATCCTTACATGCAGCCAGTAGTTGTTACAGGACCCATTATCCCACTTCACAAAGTACTCATTTGTATTATCTTGAACACAAATATCTGGTAAAATATGAAGGTGGCTTGTAGATTTGCTTTTTTTCACCAGAAAAAAACACAATAAACATTGATTGATTGATTGACAATGGTAACATTGAGTGGCTGGAAAAGCTGAAATATCATTAGCTATTTAGCAAGTGGACAAAAATGAAAAATTGCCTCTGGTAAAATCTCAGTGACAGCAGGATGGAGGTTTCCAGGAGAAGAATCCTCCAGAAGCATCTGGAGCCAGCCAGACCACTGCGCCGCTGCCTCCCTGCTGACACCGGTAAGTAGTTTGCATCAGTAAGTCAAACTTATAGGAATATATCAAATGTTTGAAATGTAAGATTATTCATAATAATGGCATGCTCATTTGAGAATTGTATCACTTCAGAGTCCAACATAAATGCTGCTACGTGTGCACAGGCACTGAGGGATGAGGAGGAGCATGAGGTAAGAAACCCCAAAGAACACAATATCTGAGGGTAGCAAATTACAATTATGGATCATTCTGTTTACTTTTTTTCCATGAATCATCTACAAATTGTTTTTAGAAAAGCAGCAAATTATCACATTTGAGACTTTGAAGCCACACAGTAGCTGTGTTTTTGCTTTAAATTGACTTCCACAATCATGGATAATCAAATTCTTTCCAATTTGTTTTCTTTCAATCGATAAGAATTTCAGCACTTCAATATTAGCATTTTCTCCTCATTAAAATCAATTCAATAAATGTAACGTCTGTTAAGAAGTGGATTACGACAACATAGACTGTTTTTAAAACAATTTTAATGTTCTTCTAATGTTGTGCTTGATAGACTCCTATTGGAATTGAGCAGTTCTGCAAGATTGTTAACCTCCACAAAAGAAAGAAGGTAAGGAACACCATGGTCTTGAGTCATGTTTTCATGACTATTGAAAAGCAGGTTAATATGCACAATAGCCAGGGCTGCACATAACTGGTGCGCAGGTGCGCATGCGCACCTCCGCCAAAAAAAGAGCACCGGGTCATTTGAAACAAAGCGCATTTGCGTACCAACATTGAGAAGGAGAGAGAGAAGAGAAAAGAGAAAATAGAGGAGAGATGAGAGAGAGAGAGAAGAGAGAGAAAGATATTTGCGAGTTGCATACATGTATGAACCATGATATGAACTCAGGGTCGGCCCGTAGCCCTGGCTAGATGTTCGCCTAGGGCGCCAGATCTGGGGAGGTGCTGCGCTGGCAGTTCTGGGAGGGAAAAAAAACATTTTGACCGTTGGGGCTCATCCTAATTTTCGGCCTTGATGTAACAATATTCATAATTAAGTAAATGTAACACCCTTTTCACCCCGGTTCCACCTTTCATTTGCCCTGTACGATGGGCGCTGTAAGTGATGAAAATGGGGGGTGTTGGCTTATCTGGCGCCCGCAGCTCACAGACAAAATGCGAGGGAGAGAGGGAGGGTGGTACCAGCGCTGTTGTTATTATAATCTGGTGCCGTGCTAGCTGCTCTAACGGAGATAAGAAGAAGATGTTTCTACAATAATGTGGAGGAGAGTCCTCTCCAGTCAGACTGATAACTACAGCTCAGTGAGGTAAAGGACTCTGAGTGTTTAGATAGTTAACTTTAGTCTAAATTCAAACGGTTTGGTCACAATTTATGTAAACACATATTTCCAAGGCACTCCTTTGTAATTCTTGGGATAAACAGGTTTTAAATCATTCCAATGTATACTATAGGACAGTAACCAAAAAATATCCTTTAAAACTGGAGATAAAAAAAAATGCATAAATAAATAAATGTTAAGGTAAAATAAGATATGAATGAACAACACAAATAAAATAAGTTACATTAATTTGTTATTGGCTATGGTAGGCTATTGGTTATGTTCACATACTTATTTGATTACATCCACTTGTCTAAGATGACAACAGAGACTTTCGACCCAAACCCAGCTGTTGACTTGTGGATGCAAGCAGCTAATCGCAGACTCAACCAGAGAGAAAGAAGTAGGCCTACATCATTAGCTACCATGTCTGACAGAGAGGAAGACACTGAGGAGAACAGTCAGGAGGGTAGTGATGCTTGTAGGATTACTGGTCGTGCTAATGTTGTCTTGTGTTGTGTTCACCTCTGCATGTGTGTTCTGTGTTCACCTCTGCATGTGTGTTCAGTACCGTGTGTCTGGCAAATAAAGTCAAGAGCCCCTCAAAAGTTACGGTTTATTTCATTTTAAGGATGAGCACCAAGCAACATCTCCAGGTGCTCCTTTGAGAACCAGGGCAAAAAAGTTATGTGCACCCCTGACAATAGCAATGTTTAATACACATGTATGTTCATTTGGAAGCTGGAGGCTAACCAGGGGAGGGAGGTAATTTACAGTAGTGGTTTGGCAAAATGCAAAACAAATAACAACCTGCTTTTGTCTGTCTTTTTATTTGCCTGATTTGATCTAATTTGATCTTCTTTTTTTAGTAGCTAGAATATCTTACAGCAGAGATGTTCTACTTGGTCTTTCAAGTTGTCCTGAAGCCAAGAAGAAGCCACCATTCTTGCCAGAGCACCCCATAGTCCTAATGGAAGCCGTAAGTTGGGTGTCCATATTCAATTCATGGCGGTACCCTCTTTAGATATGAAATGTGCTGTTTGCATTGATTAATGTTTGTATATCTTAACAGAGACATTTTGGGCCCTTCACGCCTCATGAAATGAGGTGTAATGGAGGAAATTAAGACATGTAAGTCGGAAGTATATTGTTTTGAAACTCCAGCAAATGAGACAAATGTAAACATTATAGTATTACAAATAATTTTTCAATATTCTTTTTTGTTTCTAGGGTGGCAGAAAGGCTCCACTCACCTTAACACATTTGCACAGGGGTTGAAAAACCAAAAACTGTTATTTTTCTTTTTTCTTATTGTTCTGGGTGAATTTAATTTAACATTTCTTATCTATTGCATGTTTGTTCTTTTTGGAATGAGACAGTTTGAAGTGAAATTGTACCAAGATATATGACTAAACGCCACTTTATTTGCCTAAGTATAAGTACTTCATTGTATTTACCTCTCTGATGTGTGAGATTTTGACTAGAGTGAAGTATTTACATTTTGTAAAAATGTTTTAAAAATATATTAATGGCTATTAAACCGCTGAATAAAATATTTTTTGACAACCGTTTTGTGTGATGGCATTTTTTGTTGTTGCATGTAATTAAATGTAAAGCTGGACTATATATATATATATATATATAAATATGATATTCTTTTCTTTTCATATTTACAGTATTACGGGCAGTTGCACTGTCTAATGAAATTCTTACGCTCAGCTCCACACTTAAATATTTAGAAACTATACATACAAACAAAAGATAAAAACTACCATTAGACATTTAAAAAAAAGTAATCATCCATTAAAAAAAACTCCTATCTCAGAATAAAGTGATACAACTAAAAATATATATGAATCTTTCAAATAACTGTATAATATTTTGTTCTACAAACACCACACAATTGTCGAGTAAACTCTTCAGTTTTATGTATTTTTACGGGTCTTTTAGATGTTGGATTTCTGGTCCTCAAATCTTCTAAGGAATCGTTTTTGCATCAATGGAATGTCAGGTTTTTATTTTTCAACTTTAACATTGAACATTTGAATACAAAATGAATTGCAGGTTAGTACTCAATGTAATGGCAACGAGAAACAAGAACTGACATTTACTCTTTTATTAATGTCCAAAGGTTACCTGAATGTAAACAATGGTACAATAAATGTGTTCTGTACAAAATTAGAGTTTGGATAATATGTAAAATGTTGATGTTATTTTGTATACAAATTCCTGTGGTGGGCCATGCCCTCTGACGCAGACCCATGTGAACAGTAGCAACCGGTCGGTGAGGTCGTGACGACGCTCGTGACGTGATGGACGTCACGTCATTGTGGGCAGGATGCTCGTGTTACGGTGTCGACATCAATACAGAAAGCGAAATTAACTGTCAGGGAAAGAGGAATCGGCAGTCAAACAGCAACATACTAAAGGTACATTTCTATCTGGTGTTTATATTGTAGCTTTGTTTGTTCTATTGGCTTATATCAAGGGGAAAGATGGACCCATATGATTTGTCTGTCTCTATCCCCCCGCTGAGATCAAGTGCTGTGCGCTGCATTGAATCTACGCCGGGTTGTTAATAATTTCTAAAATATGTCTTAATTGTGTTGAAAGTTAGTCTGACTCCTCACCTCATGTAAGATAATACCGTGTGTAATTGTAACGATCAGTGTTGTTAGAGGTTGGGTTTGTTCTCGGTTACTGAATAGTTTTGTTGGGACATCGCTTCCTTTTTTCGGCTTTTCCAGGAAGATGAACCCAGAGGAAGAGAAACGGGCCACGCCATGCAGCAGGTGAGCAGTTTCAAAGGTTAACCCCTAGGTAAAAGTATTGTTTTAAAGGGTATGTGTTGAAACACTATATATTTACTCTATGGAACCAACGTTTATTTTGAATGGTGAAAATAGGTTGACAGGATGTTATGTAATTGTCCTATAACGCCACCCTATTAGTTTACTATCAAGCACATACGATGTTGGTACTGGATACGTTATTTTACAACATTATTTAAATGCCAGTACTCCATTCATAGGCTACCTTGTTTACAATGAATACAGCGTAAATTCTCCTTGAAGGGTAATTCCACCTAATTATCATTTGTTCCCTTATTACATTCTTGTGTTAGGTTCACCTTGCTTAAATGAATGTATTCCATTCTGTGTAGAATATAATACAGTTCAACAGCACCAGGGTTTCAAAAATAACCCACAGGGAGAAAGGATGTATTGCAGGAGTGCAGTAGTTTTATCTAAGTGTACTTTATAATACTTATTGGCATCTCAGTGTATGTATAGTATGTGAATATCCTTTTTTCGTAGTGAGATTTTGCTCACTTGTGATTTGAAATGTGGCAGCCCTGACAAAATATAGAAACATTTTTGTATGTTCTATTCAAAGCATTGAAATGTCTAATTTGATAATAGTGCACAACCTAAAATCAGTCATACTTACATACACTCTCCTCTGTTATATTATATTGGACACCATTTTTGACATCCTGAATACTTTTTAAATTGGAGTGTTTACATGATGTGTTCTTATTCACACATTTAACATATTTATTTGTAATATTTACATTGTACACATGTTTTTTTAGACGTTATATATTAATGGTCATGGGTACTTTTTATATATTTTTATCAATATATAATGTTACATCTGGCTAGATAATAAAGGGTTAAGTAGGAAAATAAGTCTTGATTGAAGTGACCTTCCTTGGAGAAGTCCAAATCACAGAATTGTTTTCCCAGTTATTAAGGGAAGTGAAACCTAATTGCAATCATTCTTATAATCAGACCCTTTTCAATTATTTGATTCCCCCTTTAAGCCCTGTTTTTGTTCACAACCCACACCTGGATGTAATGAAAGATGACGTCCTCTACCACTTCGGGTTGGGAACAGCAACTCACAACCTACCTGCCATGTTTGGTGATGTCAAAGTAAAGATTCTTATTACATTCATTTGTTTAAAAAAAATGACCTCTATAATTGTCTTCATTGTGCTAAAATGTGTGTTTTTTGTGTGCTATCTTTCAGTTTGTGTGTGTTGGAGGCAGTCCATGGAGAATGAAATCATTCACTGAGTATATTGCTGCTGAGATCCGTATGGAAGACCCCGAGTCAGAGTACCCAAACATCTGTGCTGGAACGGACCGCTATGCTATGTACAAAGTTGGCCCTGTGCTGTCTGTCAGTGTATGTAAGACCTACGATTGCTTTGAAATAGTAGTATTCTTAATAAGCAATGTACATAGTATGGACTATAAAGTACTTTGATATTCTAACTACATATATTTGAAAAATTGTGTTGTGTTGTGACTTGTCTGTGCTTTATTTTGCAGCATGGGATGGGCATCCCATCTATTGCCATAATGTTGCATGAGCTAATAAAGCTCCTCCATCACGCTCATTGTGAAGATGTTACAATTGTACGTATTGGAACGTCGGGAGGAATAGGTAAGCAAATTATTAGAAATATATTTTCTGTTACCTGAATGCCTGAAAATAGCTCTGGTAATCAATGAATGAATATCATTGTTACGTTCATAAAAGTGATGCAAGTTTTCCAGTCAATCTGTACATTAATTTAATGAAGAAATTACTTGACTAAGATTCTGTGTGTGGTCAAATGTATTTGCCCTAATATGGGTTACTTTGGTAATATACAGTAGTTGATGACATTGAGGTAACCGTTATTGTCCACAAAGACATGTTCATTTGGTTTTACCACGAGAGGGAGCCAAAGTCTCTTAGATTTTGGATTGGTTGCTATCAGGCCTGATGGTATTTCTCCAGTTTTTAGATAACTGGAATTTCCGTCTTTATTTTTTAAAGTGAGTTATTCATATTTAGTCTGAAATGTTCCTTTTCTTTATTTGTTTGTGTCACAAACCATTGGATTTGACCATGCGGCTTATATTTGAAGTCCACATATATAATTAAAGGTCCCATGTCATGCTTTTCCGGTTATTAACCGTCCCCTTGTGTGTTATGTAGCTTTTTATGCATGTAAACGGTCTGCAGAGTCACAAACTCTCAAAGTACACCCTGTAACGAGTAAAACTCTAACACAGAAAATACCTGTCTATGCTGCCCCAGAACGCCTCGTTGGGGAAGGGGGGGGGGGGGGGGGGGGGGCAGGAGCTCCAACAAGCCGTTTAGGACAGAGAGTGAATACACATACTATACAGAGATGCTGTATGAGAAACCAATGTGAGTTTGGAAAATTGCACAATATAAATCTATTTTAGTAGACCTCAACAATGGAATTATGATCAGTAGAAATGGCCATGACATGGGACCTTTTAAATAAGGGTATATTGTGATTTGTAGTTTAAGCAGACTATATATGACAAATTGACCTAAAGACATGCAGTATATTACTTAAAATCAATAAATAAAAATGTCTTCGGATTTGTTTCATTTTTTAATGAACGTGAACAATGATGCTTATTTTACTTAATATATAATGTGTCAGTCAGTGTTTCATACATATATTAAACTCACTTCTTCATTGCAGCTTTTTGTACTTTCTGATTATAAATGTATAGCTTATCTCCGTTCACATTTTTGGTGTTCAGGGCTTGAGCCTGGCACAGTTGTTGTCACCAAGAAGTCTATGGATGCCACCTTCCTGCCCAAGTTTGAGCAGGTGATCCTGGGGAAGACCGTGGAGCGTAATACTGATCTGGACCAATGCCTGGCTGAGGAGCTGTTGCAGTGCAGCAAGGAGCTCAACCAGTTTGAGACAGTGATAGGCAACACCATGTGTACACTGGATTTCTATGAAGGTATGACCTTTGATGCATTGATTTGTTGATTACCCCTGTGTTCATTATTTCAGCTATAACCAGCACGGCCCCTAGTAGACCCCCCCCCCCACACACACACACACACACACACGCGCACACACACACGCGCACACACACACACGCGCGCGCACACACACACACACACACACACACAACAACAACACAGACTATAACACCCCTTGCTGTTAAATACCAACCAACTATGTGCAATATGTGCTATATATATGCCGTTAATAACTGTGCAATATATACCTGGCTGCTAAATCCTAAGAACTGTTACACGATGTGTATTTTGTAAATTGTGTAACTTTTTTTTTTATTCATTATTTATTATTTTGTAACTTCTTTTTTTTACTTTAATACTTTTTAATGCATGGTTCTACTTAACATTAAGCTGTCTTTGGCTCTTTTTATGTTGTAACAATGTACATTTCCCCTCTGTGGGACTATAGGTATTCTGATTCTGTAATGTTAATCTTTTCTGTCTGACCAATCACCCACGCAGGGCAAGCCCGTCTGGATGGGGCATTCTGCTCCTACACCGAGAAGGATAAACAGGACTACCTCAAAAAAGCCAGTGAAGCAGGAATCTGCAATATAGAAATGGAGTCATCAGTTTTTGCTGCCATGTGCAAACTGAGTGGTCTTCGAGGTGAGCAAATATAACAGCATTACTGAATATTATAGCTGACAATTGTCACTATATTGAAACACAGAAAGTTGTCTTTGCCTCGTTGAGTTTCTAACATGTATTTCTTGTTGTGTAAAGCGGCTGTGGTTTGTGTCACGTTACTGGATCGTCTGAAGGGGGATCAGATGAACGGCTCTCATGAAGTTCTTCAGAGTTACCAACTACGTCCTCAGATACTGGTCGGAAACTACATTAAGAAGCTGTTAAAGGCCAAAGCAGGACGTAGCTGCAACAGTGCAACAGTATAAGCTGCAATGATTCAGCTTTAAAAAAAAAATGTTATCCTGCTCTCACCAATAGCCATATATTACCTTTATTACCTCCAGAATAATGACTTAAGAAGTAATGCCTATTTATTTATCCTTGGCAAATATTAAGTTGGTCTATTTCACTGTTTTTAATAAAATCCATTACACTATATCACTTTTGATTCCTATTCATTTTGACTTAAATGTTGTGGAGCAGCTTAATTAGTCATCATTAGTACTGCCTATTTCTTTTGTTGATATATATGATATGATAAATATAATATTCCTGAATCGTTTTAGTTAAGCAAAACTACCTCAAACGGTAATTAGAGACATGTTCCATGAAAACTACACAGCAACTAAATGTAACTTAATAATGCGAAAATAAAGTGAATGTCACATCATTATTTAATTCTAAATAATGAAGTTGTCTGTCTCATCAGATTTTACATTATCCTATTGCTTTTTCTCAGTGCAAGGAGACCTTTGTGTAAGCTGAAGGTTTGTTGCATGATCAGCATCATGAACACTGCAGGCTACTCTTTAAAATTACAGTGAAGTTCTTGAAGATGATCTCTCTTGAAACATTAATTTGGTTCATGAAATCATCCTTTCCCCTAAACCTATGCAAACATAAGAACATTTTCCTCCTATATTTTGCTAAACCAGCTTACCATTTGAACCTCCTTAACCGTTTTGCTAAATCCATTGAGGACCGTGAAGATAATTACTTTTAAAACTGGTCTCTATGTGTTCAACTTGAATTTGTATCTTCTATAATAAACAATTTCAGAATTTTGTGGCACATTTTTCCAAGTAAAAGCCTAACTACTCCACACTATTACAGCAAAACTTCAAAAAAACATCACAAGTTCACATTTGATGGTCTGACTAAAAACAAGAGTCACATTTAATATTAGTTGGTGAAATAGTCATTCAACAAATTATGATCAGATCTGTTGTTCCTTCTTAATGCCATGAACCCATTTCAATCAGAATTGGCTGGATTGCTGTGGACATAATTCGTATGCATGTGGAGCAAATTATACTCAAGTATCAGGCTAACAAGTATCCGGTGTGGAGAACATATCGACCTCCTCCAAGGATGCTTGAAACCGCTTTGCGCGTCAGAGCAAGAGAGGAGGGGCTGTTGCGCGCTCCCGTGCGTGCGTGCCCACCCTTTCCCATCCGATCCTACTCAGATCTATTCGCTGACTCAGTGCCTTAAGCAGCATCACCGTTCACCTGAAGAGAGCTACAGCCTGCTCTGCGGAGAAATACATCAGCCATGGCCAAAACAGCAACCGGTAAGCGTGTTTCAGCTGCTCTCGTTAGAAATGATGCATGCATGGATGGATGATGGATGGATGGATTGATGGACTTGTGACATATTATTTCTGCTTGAGCGCGGGTCGGCCCGGTATTGTCTAGGTGGTCGTGCTTTTGTAATGGCTCCACTCAGACATATTGTATATTTAAAACAAAAATGACCCACCTTGATATATGTATCAAGGGTACGCCTATTGTCCCAGCTAAAGAGTCAATGACAGAAAGGATAAAGGTTTACAAGCCAAACATCTTCGTCATTACAGAAATGTGTCCTCCATTATCTTCATCTGCGTCAATGTGACTTTATTTGCTTTGATCGTATATTGTGTAACAGTTTTGTAATTAGATGACACGGATTGGCCTTTGACAGCTTTATTTACTACGCCGTACCTGCGGTTCATGCTACAGCGGCCCCAACATGCAGCATAATGCAGACGGACCCCACCCAAGATGCTGTGCTGCCGACCTTTTAGCAGACAACGAAGCTGAGAGGAATCCATCCCTCTGAATTTTATACCACTTATATGTTGTTATTCAAAACGTGTTTTTAAGACCCTAAACCTCTCCTGAAAGGTTGTTTAATCCGATTATTCATTTAGGATTGCTCCTAATCTCAGTGCCTTTCTTCCCTTATGTCTTTCTTGCCTAGGATGCATCACAAGCTGTGACGGATGGGCTGCCATGTATTTTGCACACAAAAAAAATACCCTACTGGCATTTGAATAAAGAAAATGTAGCGTAGGAGTTAGCATTTGTATTAACCACAGATAAGACTGTAGCCTGCATTAGTCATCTCCACTGATGGACAGTTATTGTTAGGCCTTGGGTTTAGCATATTTGTTTTCAGGGATTTGTTTAGTGTCTTGTAAAAATATATTTAGCATTAGTAAGGCCATAAGAAACCATTTGGTCCCCTTAAGTACAGCAGGGTGTGCAGGCTGGCTTTATTATGGTATGTGTGGTGGGGTGGAGGAGGAGGCAGGTGCATGGCAGGGTGGGAGGCAGGCCAGCCCTGCAGCAAGGGGCCGCTGCACACACCGGCCTTTGCAGCAGAAGGCATAGCAGCACTGACAATCTGTAGTCCTCCATGACAAGCCATGTGGGCACTTTGTCAAATACTGCGGGGACCATGGAAAAAGTGACATAAATTGCACAGGAAATTTAAAATAGCTTGAAAGGAACTGATGAAATCAAATCAACGCAGATGTATGAAAGACCTGACCATTTATCAGCTGTTTTTGACAGCTATGCAGCAACATCAATAAGGAGAAGATAAGACACAAGCTTCTTATTATTGTGATCATAAACTGTGAGTTCACCCGGAAATTATTAACTTGACACAGAAGCCTGTCATCACCCAGATTGCAAGAGGATTCAAGACAGAGCATTCCTGTGTCATGATTCAAATGAATCAGACATTGTTTAACGAGAATATCAAAAATATATAATCATAGACCGCATGATCATCAATCAGAGTTATCATAGGATGCTAAACGTTTCATTTAGTCTTTATCTGGATATCTGTCAAGCATATTTATCAATTTTACGTTTTTCAGGCTGTCTGTTTCTGTTTTTACAAGTAACATAGAGAGTCTCACCAGAATGCTATTGTGTCTTTTCTTCTCACAGCATATAAAGAGAAGATGAAGGAGCTGTCCGTCCTCTCCCTCATCTGCTCCTGCTTCTACCCAGAGACACGCAAGACACTTGTGTGTGAGTTTGAAGGTACGTATCAGCTCAATAATGTATTATCTTCTGGATCAAAAAGTCTCCCCCCAATGGATGTTTTATCTTTCCTGAAAATACAGATGATTGTAATAATGACATAATGTTGGACTTATAAATTGTCATAATTGTCTTATTTACAGACATGGAGGTGAAAGCTTTGAACAAGCGAGCTTCTGGCCAGGCCTTTGAGGTGATTCTCAAGCCTCTGTCTCCAGTGTCAGATGTGGCTCACAACCTCCCCTCACCCCCAAAGAGGGCTATTTCTTTGGAGGACATTGAGAAGAAACTGGAGGCTGCTGAGGACAGGAGGAAGGTAAGCATTTAACCTGTTTTGAAATAGCTTTAGGTTTTTGAAATGGAAAGATGAAGCACAGATTGGATGTCAAACCAGTCAAAATCAATCAATTGGTCTTGTTTTTGTTTTTAGTATCAGGAGGCCCAGGTGATGAGGGCTTTGGCAGAAAAGCGTGACCATGAGAGGGATGTGTTGCTAAAGGCCATGGAGGAGAACAGCAACTTCAGCAAGATGGCTGAGGAGAAGCTCCAGTATAAGATGGAGCAGATCAAGGAGAACCGTGAGGCCCATTTGGCAGCCATGCTCGAGCGTCTACAGGAGAGGGTGAGAAATGCAGAGATATCAGTTTTTTTTATTTTTCCTCCAAGCCTGAGTATAATCAGGTTTGGGGCACCATCTGATGACTAATGTTGTACTTTCTGTTGCGGTGTGTTTAGGAGAAACATGCAGCTCTGGTGCGCAAGAACAAAGAGCTGAGGGAAGAGCTGACAGCATGATCCATCAACGTCCCGTCATCAAACCCCTCCCTCTTCCTTGCCCTGCCCTCTCTCTCCTCAGAAAATACCTAAATCTGGAGGCTGAGAGGTCTGAAGATCTTACCACCACATCACACCACACCTCACCACCAGTACTCACCACTATCAGTATTATCAGTGGATACAAACATCAATAACAACCATCTAGAGAGTTGAATGGAGTTGTTGATTTAACAGAAAATTTGAGATTATGGCTTTTATTTTGTAAATACTTTTCCTTAAAAAGTCTTTCTTTCTTTCTTTCTTTCTTTCTTTCTTTCTATCTATCTATCTGTCTATCTTTGATGGTAGGTCAAGTACATGCAAAGATTGTACTGTACTGCACTGTACAATTTCAAACATTTTGTTTGTGATTGATTAATATTTCAGTTCTTGAAATTTGACTATACAACCATTTTCTTGTGAAAGCCGTTGGTGTTGTGAGTTGGCTGTAGACTGGCATTTGCAGTGTTTTCTGATGATGTCATGATGATGATGTTTCTGTGTCTTTGTGAAGAATGACGGACGGTGTAGCTACACCACAGGCTCCTTTTGAGATATCAACGTATCCTATCTGTATCTTCCTCACGCACACCCACTCATTCTCAACACGCACGCTTTGAACTTAACAATACGCCACAGATCCATAAAGTGTCCACCTCCTCTGAAATGAGCTTGATAACGAACTAGAGAGGGCCTTTTTTGTTATTAAGAATATATTTTCCCAATGGGAGTTTATACACTTGCAGATTCCCAGTTACCCTAAAAACAACATTTCTCAATGAATCCATCTTCAGCTAAGTACTTAGCTCTGTTATATACACAGTATTTGGGCACTATGCTCTTGAATGTTTTGACACCAGACTGGTACCATGCAAATTGTCTTGGACAGTGCAATTTGCTGTTGCTCCCACCTTGATATTGATAGTGTGAACATACGAATGTCTGTGTGGGTGTGTATGAATGCTAATTTACCACAATGCACCATTAGCCTCTGCTCTCTTTAGGGGATTAGATGGAGAATGGATGCAGAATGCTTTACATTCAGCACCTGAAATAGTATCTTTTTAATATCAATGCCACTGATATCTGCCTGCATCCTCTGCTGCTTGTGTTTCTCCCTTCATATATTTCTCTGTGAAAGCTTTGCTGAATAAAGGTTTGAGGTTCTGTGAACATGGCATGCACCATCTAATAGTTTTCTGTGCTAAAAGAAGAGGGAAAATGTAAATTGCCAAATAAAGTAACCAGTTATCTACACATCATGAGAATCACCGTCTTCCCTAGTTGGTTTTTGATGAATACATT